TGCTACCTCATGTGTCTCAATGATATTATACGGTAAGATCCTTTAGTACCAAGCATTGGCATTGTTTTAAAGCATTTTTTTTATCAAGTTCAAGAAATAAAAATACTTGCAAACATATTTTTTTTTTATAAATTTAAACAAAGGGTCAGCCATATATAACTATTTTCACATCAACCACTAGAACTATTTCATAATCTTTCTAACTTTGAACTCTATCCTTTGAATTAGGTCATCTTTTGTTGATTGATTATGATCGTATAAAATTTTGTTTTTCAGCTATGAAATCATATCAAAGAAAGTTGACATTACAATTGTTATTGATTATAAACAATGGTCAACACCATAGTTCTAGCACAAATATTTTGAATTGTATAAAAACGTGGCAATTGTATTTATTGAATTTAACATTTCGCCATGACCATTATGTGGATTAATTGTTTCTAGCGTCTTGTAAAGGCTCATATTTTATGTGCTTTGACTATTGAAATCCATAACCCTTAGGCTTTTGGCCTTTCATTCTGACAAGTAATTGAGTCAATGTTGTAGAAATTAAGCAAGCTAGTTGAGAGGCAAAATTAGAGCTTCTTTAATGTTATGAAGAATAAGTTCAAACACTTCAACATTATGCTTTGCAACTGCAGAAATTATTGCTTGAACTGAAAATGAAGAAAGTGAAGTATCCATGGGGCCTCTGAGAGTAAACTTGATTTTAGATGCTGATCCTCTAAGAGAAAGTTCTCTTTCAAAGAAATTCATGAAATCCATTGTTTCTAAATCTCCGTGAAAAAAAGTTAAAGCTTGTGAGTGGTTGTCGTTATATGTTCCTATTTTTTGGACAATGTGCTTGTTCATACAGCACCTTTCATCGGAAGAAATGAAACAACATGTAAAAAGACAATATCATGCGAATCATTCAAGCTTCTACGCCTACCATTAATGCTTTTCTTATTATTCTATAGGTAAGAATTTTTGAGCTCTAAGTAAGAGGACTTGTCACTTCTTCTCATGCAGTTGCCACTATATTTTTGTGTTGCACAAGCCTAGGTTTTGCTTTAAAAATCATTCATTTATTATTTATTTATTTATTTTTATTGAATTACATGTTAGTGTAACTTATAAGAGGAGAAATTTTAAAGGAGTAATTGTGGAAATACATGTCACTTGTCATGAAACATAAGGGCTCAAGAAAGATAGAACTTAAACTAAGTTTTACCCTTAGCTGGTCATTCATGTTTGATATATATTCTGGTAGTTGTGACTATTCCACATTATACGGTCGTTTTCTGTGAACTACATGTTTTGCTGGTCTCCATCTTATCAAAACCCAATATTATTTAAACCTTATGAATGGACAGAGGAGCGTAAATTAGAATATCTTGAGGTTCATGGCAATGTTTGCTTAGATCGTGAAACCTAATAAAATTTATGTTGAAGTTGAGGATGGAGACAAAAAGGATGTTCTTATATGAGCACAAGTTCAAAAAAAGAGCTCATGCTAAACGAATAACCTATTAGTTGGAAGATTTCCTTACACTTATAAACTCCACTCCATTTGTCAAGATCCCTAATATGGAACTTATGACAAATGCTTTATTGAATCTTCATTATCACTTGTTAATTTTTGCTCACCAAAGGTATATCAATGGTTTTTTTGGCATAATATATTCATTTTCTTGTGTGCATGTGTGATTCAAATTATGTAATATGTTCAAACGAATGCAATAGCCTTTTTATTAGAGTTTATATATAAATTCAAGCAAAGGATTGAGTAATATAGGTTTATTTTTAAGTACTTTTTGTTTCTTTAGACTTTTCTAATGGTTAAAATGTCTATTATTGTCAGATGTTCCATGAGGTGGAAGTTGGTGATGAATTCAAGAGCGTTAATGTAATTAAATTCTGTTACATTTGAATTCTCACATGTCTAACTTTGACTTCCCTACAAAATAATCTGTAAATTTATGTATATTTCTATCTCATATGGAATTGTCAAGTTTTGTTCCTCAAAGTTGTGCATAAGTTTTGAAAAATAGAATATTATCAAAAGCAAAAGGTATAAATATAAATAGGTGTGCTGTGAGATTATTTTCTTTCCTTTTAAATAATAATAGTGACATCATTCAATTGGTTGTTTTGTTAATTATTTAGTGCATTGACAATGTGACATAAATAATCCACATAGAAAGACATTTTCATGTCATGGTAACTATATAAATAACATGCAAACAATTAAATGATTATATTATATTAACTGTAATGGTGTGAAGATAATCCATTAATGAGCTCAATGAAGGAGCCATAAAAAATCACTCGTGACCAAAATATCTATGGAATCTATTTTGTCAAGTTGTTGTTTAAGCATTGAGAAATTATAGTTTGAATATTAACAACTTGTCATCTATTTTGGAGTTTTAGAAGTAAATTGTAGTCTAAATTTTGAAAAGTTGTTATTTAAATATTAAAAGGTTGTAATTCAAATTTTGACAAGTGGTTCTTTCATTAGTATCTCAATATTGAGTACTTATTATATGACCGGGCAATTTCTTGATATTTATTTTTTATAAGTTGAGACCAATCTGATTTAATTTAATAGAAATAAATAAAAATATTTTGTCTTTGAGAATTTTTGTTATATTTATATTTGTCTTGCTATTCTTTTTTGCCTTACTATACATGTGGCTGTTACATAATATGTCCATGGGTTGTTCGATGAACTGATAGATAAAGAACTAATTTAGACTGAGAGATAGATGCAAATAACCAAATTAGAGATAATTTTAGATATGTGATGACTTAAATTGTAGCTTAATGAATTATTTAAGGCCTCAATAAGATCTGTGGGAGCTAATTCAACTTTAGATAAATACACTCTAATATACTAAAAAAAGGTAAGTAAGATACTTTAGAAATAGTTGTCACTATAAGTAAGGAAAAATAACATAATTAATTTAGAGTAAGCCATCCCAACAAGTGAATCTCATTCTCTAACACTCATATGATTGGTTGGTTATCCATTTTTATTATTTTTCTTTATCATGTGTTAATTAAATATTAATCTCTTTTTCAATTATTTGCTTTTCTAAAACAACAAATTTAACTATTTTCCTTTGTGTTTGACTCTAGAAATACTCCAAGAATTATTACTATATCAATCTTGTATGCACACAGCAGCAATCACTTAGGCCATGTTTGGTATGATGGAAGAATTTTTAATAGAATCGGAATCGGAATCGGAATCGAAATCAGAATTGGAATTGGAATTGGAATTGGAATTGGAATAGAATTGAATTTAAAAGTGTGTTTGGTATAATGATAGAATCCTGATATAATTTTAATAAAATATAAGTATTTAAAATAAGAAAAGACTAAAGTGTCCTTTTTAAAATTAAAAAAAATTATATTGGAGGAGAGAGAAGGGGCAAATTGGAGAAAAGGAACCATGGAATTGGATTCCATGATGCATATGATGGAATTAGATTCCATCAAATTTCCTTGAATCCTGATTCCAAAGAATCATAATTATTGCATACCAAACACACATGTTAACAGATTCCATGTCCAATTCCATTTCTTTCTCCATGATTCCAAACTACCAAACGGGGCCTTAGGATACTCCAGGATTTTAGTACTACATCGACCGTGTGCATTTACGGTAGAGATCACTTCCATTGCTGAATAATGGTTCATAAATTAGGATTTTACAAATAACCAGCAAGAATAAAGGCGTATATATGTATCTTTGTAAGTGAAGATCAGTTTTGGATTAGGATTGCCTCTTTTAAGGATGATTTTTAATCATAGAAAAAACAAATTTAATGTTTAAATATACAATGTTTCTGATTATATTCAATGGAGTGCAAGTGGATGCCTTAAGAATTATGAGTAATTACGGAATAAAATAAGTAAGAAGATTTATTTCCAAAGAAATATGTTTTGGCCAAAAGTGTTTGTAAATCTTTCATTAAGATCCTGTATTAAAGAGAGGAAAAACTTTATTAAAAAATATTTTAGTGATAAAGTAATGAAATGAGAAAGAAAATAATTAGATAACAAGAAATTCTAGGACTAATGGAAATAAAAGCAAAGCAATAGCGGAAAGGGTAAATTCTAGAGAGGAGTAACAGAGTAGGCTAGAGTGGCTTTGTAATTTACTTTCATTCATATAGGTGTAAAAGACTTTGATATTGTTCGTCAATCATAAAAGATTAACACATCCTTATCCAAAAAAACAAAAGGATTAATATATGGATTTACACTATATCCATACAAACATAATGATATTGATTAACCAAAATCAAGGATTCATCCATGCATTTGGTATACACAAATAATTTTTAGTTAGAGCTTTGTTTTTTCTTTGCAATGAATACAAATTAATAATATTTATTAAGTTTTATATTGAATGCTTTAGATGTAAAAGAATAGAGCGAGACAATAATAATAGGATAGAAATGAATATTATTGTTCTTGTTTGTGTATATTTAGAGAACAAAGGAGCATATAAATAATACAATTCTAATGTGTGCAAGGTTTAAATTTATTTACCTTTTAAAAATCCATTTTATTTTTAAATATTTTGGTTAAATCTTTTGCATTATGTGCCATTCCTAACTACTCATAATTCCGCATACATTGGCAATAGCAGACGCTCATCAACATAAGGAAAGGGGGAATTAGATACATTATATATTTGAAAATTTAAAGGCTACTCAATAATTAATAATTATTCATTAGAAAAAGACCTATACCTAAACTTATTCTCTCCCCCTCTCTCACACCCACAGACAGACAAACAATCACCCATTCACACACTCGCACGTGCAGAGGCACGCATTTCTCATAGCAGTTTATTTACATGTTATAAATAAAAATTCTCTTGAGAAAAAGATAGTATTAAATCAATTGTATGTGTGGCAAAGGGCCGGGTCCCCTTTTATTTCTCTCTTATATTTTTAGAGAGCTTGTTGTTTGTCTTGCGTTTTTTGTCGGTGGATCTAGGTTACTCTCTCCCCTATGCTCTCAACGTGAGAGGGTTTGAGGTAGGCGCGTGTTTTTTCCAGCCAATAAGGGTGTTTGGATGGTGATGGATCATCTCTTCGATTTGCAATCCAATGGTGAATCACTCAGATCTGGCTTCCTTGAGTTGCGGTGGAGGTATGTTTCACTTAAACTCATCAAACATTGTAATTTTATTTAGATCTAGTATGGAACTATTCGTGGTTGGTGAGTTCAAGGTGTGGATTTTGCATGCTCCTGATTCGATCTGTATGGCGATTATGGTTGTGATCTTAAGTTTTTTCTTTGAAATTTTGGTGGTGTGCTTTTGCTTTTTGCTTTAATTTACTTTGGGTGATGATCAGTTTTTGGCATTAGGTTTTGTCGATTGGCTTACAACAATTGACTAGAAACCAGCAATTAGGGGCCAAAAAATGAAAAATTTTTACCAGTGTGGTGGGCTAAATTAATTTCAACAATCTTGATAAACAAAATGAGAACTTTTTTTCCCCTAAAGTTGTTAGTTTTTTGCTTAAATTTTTTCTGATTTTGTTAGCGAAGGTTTTGTCTTGTTGGTGCACTAATCTTCTTGTTTGCTTAGCGTTTTATCTTCATTTATGGTTGGTTTGATTTAAGGAAAAAACCTATTGACAGTATTGGTATTTGTTTTCACACTCATTCTTAACTATGAAGTCTGACAAAGCATACAATGAAGATGAAGATAAAGAGGATAAAAATATCATTCAGCGTCGTGGCGTGTGTTGATCTATGCCTTATCAAATCAACGATATACCAAAGGTACATTTATGTGTATTTTAATTTAATTATATATATATGATCATATATATGGTTAAACCTTTATAACATCTCTTGATTCTAATTTGCAAATAATTCTGGATGATATAATATTTCATTGATCATGTAAGCTAATTAGATAAATCATTTCCATGCTATAAGCACTTTCAGCAAATATTGCAGTTATACTAATCTGGCTATTCTTTAACAAAATAAATTTATAAAATTAGATAAACATCGCTTTGGTGGAAGACCAAAGTGGCAATGGACTAAGACAAGCAAAAGAGGTTCAAGCAAACAATCCAATTAATTTCCTAGCTTTGTCAAGTTCATGATATTATTTAATAAACAATAATGGTTTTTTAGTTTAATAGAATTAAGTTGGACCTTGTAAGTTCTAAATGGAATGGCTAATATTTGTAGGCGGAACCAAAACTTGGTGAAGCCTACGCTTGCTTTGCTCGATCTGTTATGTTAATAGGTTATAAGAAACTATATGTTAGCATTTTATGTTAATCACATACTAAGAGTGTTCACTTACACTAAAATAAGTTAAGCTGCTTTGGAAGGACTCACTACACACTTATATAGTTGTAATTAATTATCTTATTACTCAATGTGGGACTATCACACATCTAATATTATATCACACATCTAATACTATAGTCTTTCAAGTTACTCATACTTTTCAAATATGTTCTTATCACTAAAATGTGTGTTTTGTAGGTTTATTCAATCTTATCCATGGGTTCCTGATGCAACCTAACCTAAAGCATTAACAACCTCTATTACTAGCAAACATGGAGTTCTGACGAGGCAACAAAATCCTGTCCATTCATATATGATTTCACGCCAGAACATGCATCTACGGGTGCTTCCGATGGCTAGTCATGCAGTCATGACTATCACCATGTTTCTAGTCTATTACAAACCTGCAAGTCTACGGTTTTGATGTTTGTGATAATGTAAGCTAATTGCTGAGATCGTGAAGCCTAATATAATTTATGTTGGTGTTGAGGATGGAGAAAACCTAGATGCTGTCATGAGTACAATTTAAAGAAAAAGCCTATTCCAAAAGACTAACCTATTAGGTTAAAGAGCCCTTTATACTAACCCCACTTCACTTGTGCGACTTGCCAATGTAGGACTTATAGTGGATTTTTTATTAAATTCTCATGATCGCTTGTTAATTTTTTTCTTACCAAAATCAACGACATACCAAAGTATATCAATGGTTATTTGTCATCATATATTCATTTTCAATTTTATACATATGTGTGTGTGTTCTTCAAATTGCAATATGTTCACACGCATGCAATGCCTTTTTTTTTCAGTCTTTACATATTTACTCAAGCATAGGGTTGAGTAATATAGGCTTAAGCAATTTTTGTTTCTTTGAACTTTTTTCTAATGTTTAAAAGGTCTATTATTATTATTAGATGTTCGATGAGGAGAGGTGGAGAATATGAATTTGAAGTGCATTAATGTAACTAAGTTATTTTACATTTTGATTCTCATTTGTCTGACTTTGACTTCTCTACGAAATAATCATGCGTAAATCCATTTGCATTTCCATCTCACATGTGATTATCAAGTTTTGTTCCTCAAAGTTGTGCATGGGTTTCCACGATGGCATATCATTTAAAACAAGAAGCATAAATAGGTTTGGTGTGAGATTATTTTCTTTCCTTTTAAATTATAATAATGACACCAACATATTGGTTGTGTTGATTATTTAGTAGATTGACGTAAATGATCAACATAGAAAGGCATTTTCATGCAAGTTACCGTGAATAATATACTATAACAATTAAAGGACTATATTATTTTATCAGGAAAGATGTGAAGATAATGCAATAATGAGCTCAATGAAGGTGCCATAAAAAAATCTCTTTGTGACCAAAATATCTATGGAAGAATGATAAGTAAGTATGTTGTCAAAAATTAAGACTGCTTGTGTCTTGTGGCTGTACTATACTGGCAAACACCCACCAAAACTTCTATTTATAGTGAAAAATTTCAAACATAATTTTGAGGACTGGAGGTAAGCGGAATGATAGGCTAAACTAGGATAAATCAATTGTGTTCACTCTTCTTTTCACAAAAAAACTCATTTCTTACTTACAAATTTGTGCATAAATTGTTCTACACTTTGCTTCCTCTTTTTAGTTGGAAAAAAGTTTTGAAAACTTTTTAAAAACACCCAATTTACCCCCCTTTTGGGTGCCACATCCTGATTCTACAGATTTTTCTTAAAAAAATTATTCATTATATGTCATTCCATAATTACTCTTAATTCATTATATAATTGTGTCAACAAACACTCAACACAAGGAAATGGGTAATTAGATACCAGGTTAGGTTTGTATACATGTATCTTTGTACATGGAGACTAGTTTAGGGTTAGGTGTGCCTCTTCCAAGAAAGAGAAACTGATTTATCTTTCCAATATACAATGTATCTGGTTATATACAATGTATATTTCAAAATTTAAACTATCTGCTACTCTATAATTAATAATCTTTATCAAAAGTCCTAAAGCTAAACTTATTCTCTCTCTCTTTTATCACAACACACGAACACGAACACACACATCCTTGCATGTACACAGGCACAAATTTCTTGTAGAAGTTTATTTACAAGTTCTTGATAAGATTCTCCAGAAAAAGAAAAAGATAGTATTAAATCAATTGTATGTGTGACTAAGGGAAGAATCCCCTTTATTTCTCTCCTTTTATAAGAGACCTTATTGCTTGGCCTGTGTTTGTGGGTGGTGGATCTCGGTTACTCTCTCCCACTGTGATATCCACGTGGGTGCGTTTGAGGAAGGCGTGCGTGTTGTAGGGTCAATGTGTGTGCGGATGGTGATGGATCATCTCTTCGACTAGCAATCTGAAGCTGAATCACACATACATGGAATTCCTGAGTTATGATGGAGGTACATTTTGCTCAAACTCATCAAATATTGCAATTTCATCTAGATACGGTATGAAATGCTTCTGGTTGGAGAGTTCATCGTGTGGATTTGATTATGCAAGCTTGTGATTTGATCTCTATGGTCAGGATGATTGGAATCTCAAAAGCTTTGTCACTGAAATTTTGGTGGTGTCATTTTGCTTTTTGCGTTAAGTCATTTTGTGTTATGATTGGTTTTTGGCGTTAGGCTTTCCTGATTTAGCTTACAAGGATGGATCTAAGAGCTAGACTTTGCGGGCCAAACAATGAAAATTTTCCTTAAAATGCAGGCTAAAATTAATTTTAACAATTTTTACAAACAAAATAAGAATGTTTTTCTCTTAGAGTTGTTGGTTATTTGCTTAATGTTTTTCTAATTTGGTAAGGAAAGGTTTTGCCTTGTTTGTGCATGATTGTTTGTGTTTACTTAGTATGTTCTCTTCAATTCTTGTTGGCTAGATTTAAAGACAAATCAGTTGACTGGTTGGGTATCTGTTTTCTCTCATTATTAACCATGAAGTCAAGCAAACCATACAATGATGATGGGGAGAGAAAGAAAATAAAAATTTTATTCAATATTATGACCTGCGTTTATCTATGCCTATCAAATCAATGATATACCAAGGTATACTTTAATGAGTATTTCAATTCTAAATATATAGATATATATATTTAATAACATGGTCAAACCTTTATAACATCTTGATTCTTATATGCAAAGAATTATGGTTGATATAACATTTCTTTGAAATACCATCATGTAAGTTCATTAAATAAATGATCCCCATGCAACAAACACATACAACAAATTAAGATCGTTTGATATTGTTTTGTGGTCATATTAATCTGATTATTCTTTAACAAATAAGTTTATAACATCTGATAAATTTGCCTCAAGTAATGAAGACCAAATTAAAGATGCAACGGGTTGAGAGAAGAACAAAAGAGTCAAGCTAATTAATCATCCAATTAATTTCAAGTTTTGTGAAGTTCGTGCTACCTCATGTGTCTCAATGATACTATGCGGTAAGATCCTTTAGTACCAAGCATTGGCATTGTTTTAAAGCATTTTTTATCAAGTTCAAGAAATGAAAGTACTTACAAACATATATTTTTATGAATTTAAACAAAGGGTCTCCCATATATAACTATTTTCACATCAACCAATATAACTATTTCATAATCTTTCTAACTTTGAACTCTATCCTTTGAATTAGGTCATCTTTTGTTGATTGATTATGATCGTATAAATTTTTTTTTTCAGCTATGAAATCATATCAAAGAAAGTTATAAACAATGGTCAACACCATAGTTCTAGCACAAATATTTTGAATTGAATAAAAACGTGGCAATTGTATTTATTGAATTTAACATTTCTCCATGACCATTATGTGGATTAATTGTTTCTAGCGTCTTGTAAAGGCTCATATTTTATGTGCTTTGACTATTGAAATCCATAACCCTTAGGCTTTTGGCCTTTCATTCTGACAAGTAATTGAGTCAATGTTGTAGAAATTAAGCAAGCTAGTTGAGAGGCAAAGTTAAGCTTCTTTAATGTTATGAAGAATAAGTTCAAACACTTCAACATTATGCTTTGCAACTGCAGAAATTATTGCTTGAACTGAAAATGAAGAAAGTGAAGTATGCATGGGGCCTCTGAGAGTAAACTTGATTTTAGATGCTGATCCTCTAAGAGAAAGTTCTCTTTCAAAGAAATACATGAAATCCATTGTTTCTAAATCTCCGTGAAAAAAGTTAAGCTTGTGAGTGGTTGTCATTATATGTTCCTATTTTTTGGACAATGTGCTTGTTCATACAGAACCTTCATCGGAAGAAATGAAACAACATGTAAAAAGACAATATCATGCGAATCATTCAAGCTTCTACGCCTACCATTAATGCTTTTCTTATTATTCTATAGGTAATAATTTTTGAGCTCTAAGTAAGAGGACTTGTCACTTCTTCTCATGCAGTTGCCACTATATTTTTGTGTTGCACAAGCCTAGGTTTTGCTTTAAAAATCATTCATTTATTATTTATTTATTTATTTTTATTGAATTACATGTTAGTGTAACTTATAAGAGGAGCAATTTTAAAGGAAGAGGAGCAATTTTAAAGGAGTAATTGTGGAAATACATGTCACTTGTCATGAAACACAAGGGCTCAAGAAAGATAGAACTTAAACTAAGTTTTACCCTTAGCTGGTCATTCATGTTTGATATATATTCTGGTAGTTGTGACTATTCCACATTATACGGTCGTTTTCTGCGAACTACATGTTTTGCTGGTCTCCATCTTATCAAAACCTAATATTATTTAAACCTCATGAATCGACAGAGGAGCATAAATTAGAATATCTTGAGGTTCATGACAATGTTTGCCAAGATTGTGAAACCTCATGAATGGACAAATTCAAAGATCTTGAGTGCTTTAGCTGCAAAAACAGATCACGAAGGATTTCCTCAACAGAGGAACCACGAGAAAGAAATATGAAGAGACAGTGCAGATGAACAAATTTTTGCATGGCCTCAAAATTCATTTGATTCACGCTATTACATAGAATAGACAGATGCAATATCGTTTCTAGGACACGATCAAAATTGTTATCTAAGACCACGGCATACTGGTTGTTGAGAAGAGCAGGTCGAAAAGATGGCGGTAAAGTGAAGGAATCATTGACTTTGTACAATAATCTCCTAATCCCAGGGTTCATAAAATTATGAATTTATCAAATCCACAGAAAACGAGGACTCGAGGAGATTAAAGAGTCAAAGGTGTCACCAGCAACGTCCTCTGCTTTGCAATAATCATCTATCAAAGACAGAACAAGTCCTTCAGCCATCAACAGTGAGACCAAATCCAGTTTGGTGAACTCAGAATGGGGCACTATAATAACCCAAGAATTTGAGTAGAATTAAATATATAAGTTTGTGTTTTAGTAATAATTATATTTAGTCTTTTGGTATGACAAGAACGGATGTTAGTGTAGTGGAAGCAAAT